GGGGGGGGGGGGCAACATTGGTTTTTGGCCATAGATTGTCCCCTCCCGGTGCAGTGTGCTCAAGAGCAGAACATTCTTCCCCAGTCTTGGCACGTAGGAGACCACGGTTGTGTCTTCGGTGAACATGAACCTGGATGAATTTAGAGGCCTGTCCTTTGTGTCCAACAGTTGTGATGGGAGCTCTGGCTTGTTCTTTTTGATTGTTCCCACCATGGTCAGCTTCCTCTTCAGGAGCTCCTGTCCGAGCTGGTAGGAGGTGAAAAAATTGTCGCAAGGTGATGTTGGGTCCCTTCAGATTCTGCGACGGGTCCAGGACCACTCATGGCTTGATTGCGCTCTGGGACTCCTCCTTCAGGTTTCCCTGTGTAGACCTGCAGGTTCCAGGCGCAAGACGTGGCAGCATTGCAGGCAGCCCAGATCTTTATCCCATTCCGAGCCGGTTTGGAAGGCATATACTGCCTAAATGGGCAGCGGCCCCAAAACGTCATCAGCTGCTCATCGATGGTAACATTCAGCCCGGGGTTGAAAAGCTGGGGGAGGCGGTGCACCCACTTGTCCCACACCGTCCGGATGGCTGCCAGTTTGTCCATCTGCCGTCGAGCTGCTCTGTCTTCCCGGTTATCAAACCTGATAACCCTGGAAATCACCTGGAACGTGTCCAATGACATTGTTGCCCGGAAGATGGCCCTGCCGTTTTCTGCAGACCAGAGGGAATGCAGTGATTCTCCTTTTGACCTGAAGACTCCAGCCAGGTAGAGCAGACCAAGGTAGGCATAGAGGAGGATTATGTCCACAATCTTCCACCGCTCTCCATAAACTCGTCGACCTTCTGTGTTCGTGCAGTCCAGGACAATGTTCAGGATTGAGTCTGGCATTAGCTGGTAGAAGGCTGACTTTATGTCCGACACTAGGCTTATTGCCATTCTTGTTGGCCCTGGTTCTATGCTGATAACGTTTGCGGCTATTCGGGTTGGCTGCTTGGAGGGCTGAGAAGACCATGAAATGGCCCTGGATTTCGCCATGAAGACCTCTCCTGGAGCTGGCTCAGCCTGTAATTGTTTCAAAATAATAAATCACAATTACAATAAGTTCTCAAACACAGCACATTTTAGCAAACAGACTGTATATTGCATTGTTATAACTTACTTGTCCCTGCTGCTCCGCGCTTTCAGCCACGCGCTCCACAGAAGCAATGTGTTTAGTCTTCCTTTTTCTTTTCCCGCCTGAGGATGGCTGAAAACACAGTAACAATAGCAAAAGTTACAAATGAGCAAGCTGTAAC